AGGGAGGGCAGGGACAAGGGATTAAAAATGAGAACCAAGACCTGTCATGTGAAGGTACAAGATTCCAGTAATGAATGTAACTGTATTGTAGACCTAGATTGTACCAACGAACTCAATAAAAAGAAAAAAAAAGAAAATCATTAATAGATTTTAGATTTTCCATGATTATATTTCAAATAAGAGGAATCATTCTATTTTTAGTCTTGTGTTCAACTTCTTTCAAAGATTCAGGACAATGTAAAACACATCTATACTGTATATATTATTAATTTGTTCACTTTTACTTTACAATAGTAGTCCCACATGAATTTATCTTCTATGAATTTATCTTCTGTGAATTCAGCAATTGATAGATATTTGCAATTTTCAAATTTTAAGCTATTAGGAATAAAGCCATTATGAATATTTACATGCAAGTAATTTTGTGAGCATATTGTTTACTTGTCATGACTAAATACATAGAAGAGCAATACTGATTCATATGATAAGTAAGTGCTTAACTTTTATAAGGTGCTTCCAAACTGATTTCCAGAGTATAATATCCTTTTCCAAATGTATATATTTTTCCATCTCCAAAAGTAATGTGTGAGTTCCAGTTGTTCTACATTCTCACTAGTATTTGGCCTTGCTAGTCTTTTTAATTTTAGGCCTTATGGTAGGGTGGGAAGTGGTACTGAACTGTTAGTTGAATTTGATTTTCCTGATTAATAATAGCATTTTTTCACATTCTTATTAGTCATTTGTCTTTTGTGAAGAGTCTCACTCAGGATTTTTTTTTAAAAATAATAAATTGTAAATTTTCTCTACACGTTCTGAATACAAGTCTTTCATTTTGTGATTTTATAAATCAGATGTCAGAGGGCCCTCTACACGGATTTCTGGAGCCTTTCTGGGCATTGCTTTTCTTCTCCATTTTCCTGCCTCAAGGATTCTAGATGTTTCCACTGCCCACAAAACTAATTGCTCCTGCAATCAAGACTGCCACATTCTGCTCTGTTTCCAGATCTCTACATCACAGTGGGAAAGTGTCCCTCAGCAGAGAGTTCAATGATTATAAGACTCTTCCTCATGAATTTCCCTGTTCTCAGAAATCCAAGCTTTGCACTACTCATTTTCTAACATCTGAAAACAGTTTTCTCATATTTCCAGATTTAGAGTTGTTTATAATGGAGGTTACAGTTTGTTACTCTAGGTTTCATTCTGTTATCCTGGTTAGTTGTAGAAATACTGCTTAGTGGAATAATTAGGAATGATGTTTCCATACTGTGTAGAGAACAGAAGGCAGATTATATTTTTTAAACAGAGGAATTTATCTATTCATTTATACAGCAATTGTTTAAAAGTATTAAGTATATTTGTTCTCCCTAAAGAATGCAAAAGATAAGGAAAATAGACAGGGAAGCAGATAAGTGTGATACAGCAAAATGCAATGTGACCAGTTATAATAAAGAGAAATGTGCTAAAGATTCATTCAGTGTTTGAAAGATTCAAAAACTACTTCTAGGGGAAAAGCCATGTAACGTGAATCTGAACACTAGTATAGCAACTGTAATTTGAATAAGAGAGCAGGTCATGAGAATACTGTGGCTTCTGGTATAAACTGCTAAAATATGCTAGTCATAACAAAATTTCAATATAGAATAATAGCTACAGGAAGTGGCCTGGCAAAGTAGCTAGAATATCTGTGATTACTTCAGGGAAGCAAAAGTAAATGTTTTGAAACTTCAGTTCCTTGAAGAGATTGGCAGTAAGTGAACATTGAACAGAATCTTTTTGGACATGGGAAATGATTGGTATACAAGTAGTCCTCAGTGACCTTCAGTCCTTAGAGTCTGTGTATTTTTTACATGGAGAGATAAGTTTCTCCAACTGTGTAAAGTTCAATACGAATACAATTCTAATGTTAGTGAAAGGTACTTTTATCCATGTCCTCTTGTATAAGAACTAAAGGGAATTCTATTTTTCCCTAAGAAATGGAAGATATTTTAAGTTTATCAGAAGAGGCTTTTGCGTAGAAGAGAAATTGTTCCTAAACTCAAGCACTAATTTATTTTATGCTTTGAAGAGAAAAGATGTAAAAGGCACAATAAAGCAAAAAGGGTTTCATATTCAGTTTTCCTTGGAATGCTGAGATGGAAGAATTCTAGACAGGATACGTATGAAGGAAGTACATTTTAAAAGCACAAAGAAAGGAAGAACTGTAGTGAGAAAATGTGAAATTATTGGATCCGAACGAATTAATTATGGAAGGATCAAACTCATAGAGCATGGAGAGGTGCCAGTTTATAAACACAGCTTTTCTCCTTCATTTGCCCAAGCAATCAGCCTATCAGGAAGTTTTCCTCAAGTGCAAGTTTCATGTTGCAGTCTCAGCAAACCTGGATTCTGACTTAAAGATGGAAGAGTCTGATCTTTTATGCTTTGATTTTGAGCAAAAAGATTTGGAGTAAGGGGGGATGTTCTCTAGAGGTGAGAGCCCTCCCTGAGCTAAATTCTTATATATGCACCCAACCATTTGTACACAGGCTTGGAAGAACAGGAGTCCCACCCATGTTTGACTAAAACCATTAATTGACTGTATTACAGAATCTTAGGTGAAACAGATCTTCACAATACCTTACCAATTCATACATTAAACTGAAAAACCTAAAGTTTAGGTCTTCATGTTACCTAACACACATTGCTAATTTCCAGTCAAGTAAAAATAATGAACAAAGACATCTAGATCAGTGATCTTTTGATGTGATTATATCACACTATTCCTTAAACTGTATGTCATGGCTTGAATCCAGATGTCCCCTCATGACCTCATGTCCTCATATGTAGGGTTTTTCAACAGTGGCTGGATCTAGAATGTGTGAGTGTGGATGATGAAGAGCGTAAGATGCTAAATTAATACACTGATTGGTTTAGCATAGTTCAAGCTGTAGATAATGGAAAAGTCCTTTATGGTTATGGGTGGCACCTCCCAAAAGGCTTTTAGCTTGGATGGGATAAAATAAACAGAAGGAAAGCTGGTTGCTGCTGCCTCTTGCCTGCCCTGCTTTGACTCTTCTGCGAGGACCCTCTGCCATACCTTGATGTCTTGGAGCCAGCTGACTATAGAGTTAACCCCCTATAAACTATGAACTAAAGGAAATATTTCCTCATTGAACTTGTGGGTGTTGGGAATTTTGTCTCAGCAACAAGAACATAACTAATACACTGTGAAATGGAAAGTTTTTTAATTACACCATGCCCACACGAGGATATAAACAGAATTAGGAGCTCCTGGATTCTGGTGCTATCTTGCATAGATTATATTATGTCTTTTACAGATTTTAGTGCAAGTTTACATTTATAGTGTATCGTTTCCCCTACTTTATCACGTGTACAATCATAATCCATAATACCGTAGGAGTGCTGTGGTAATTAATTAGTATTCACAAGATGAGACAGAGTGGCCTAGTTGAGAAAAATATGAAATAGATATTTACTATCCCTGTTTACCCTATATTTAATGAGGCGAAACAAATGTTTTGATTATAACAGCAGCTCCCTTCTTGTTAAATGTATATCAAAACCTTATTCCTAGAGGGAAAGCCGAAAAGTCCTATCGAGATAATTTGGATAGATTCGTGATGCTCCAGGACAAGACTGTACCTGCTGAAGACCTCCTAGGAGGAGCAAGGTGTTCCTCACTGTTCTAGGATTCCCTCTCTATCCCCACCCCGGTCATAGTTACATTTGCTTCCCCCGATGCATGCACGGCACTCTGTGTCGAGTCATCTGTTATATTTGTGCATCGGACATACTGAATAAAAGGCGGCAGGTTCAGGGGGTTTTGGGGACCAGAGCAGCGTTGATCAGGCCCAAAGCCCAGCTTCTTCTCAAAGTCTCATTTTTTCCTACCTTTTTTGCATAATGAGTCAATTCGCCTTGTGCTGTCTTGGCTCGCAGGAGACTAGGATTTACTGCAGAGGTCCTGGTGACGTCCCCTTTCTCCTCTCCCTACAATATGTCATTTTCAGGGAGGCTGGTTCTAGGAGATATTATAAGGGTTCATTTAAGATATTTAAAAGATGCACTTTAAGAGAAGATATTGAGAGTATTTACCATCCCTCCAGGCTGGCACTGAAGCAAAAGGCACCAGCATTACTGCTCTGTTCCCCAAGGTCAACTGAAATGAGGTCACCACCCCATTCTCATTGAGACACAGGGCACATTTTGGGTCTCCTATTTAAGATCAGTAACTGTGACCATAGCCCAGCCACTAGAGTCCTCAGAGTAACAAGGACTGCGAATAAGCACTTTGGTGGAGTTTCACGGACAACTTTGCTGTGCTTCTGCAACCTTCAGCTGATTCGGGACACGCCAGGATTAGAATCACTGAGGCACATCAGTCTGAGTGGATTTTATGATGAGTACGGCTTGAATGGTATAGTGAAAGCATCAATCACTCTTCGCATGAGACTCCAATTTTCAGAAATGGAAGGGAGAAATGAGGTTATTATGAGGATGAAGGAGACATGCTTTTATTTTTTTCAGCAAAGGATGCTCAATGCTGGATTTAAGGAAGAACTTTTAGAATGCATGAGTAATTGGGTATTATTTAATTGGGAAACCTGGAATCATTTTGAAAGGCATATTTAAAATACTTTCCAGAGTCTTTAGGTGATTCAAGATCTGTTTAAAACAAATGGATTATTTTGTTTTCTGTCTTTTTTTCTTGTGTTTTTCAGTGTCTATAATGACATAGAGCACATTCAATTTTTAGCTCTGAAGAATTACTTGGGCTTCTCAGGTTCATATTTATTTGTCCCACTAAGTAACCATCAATATTTTTTCTTCTTTTATCTTATTTGAAAGTTTATTCTCTAATTTTTGACATATTTATATTTATTAAAGAAAACTTGAGTGTTAGTACTAATACAAGAGAACATTTTTTGCATATCCTAAACATCAAGATGTATTACTGTGTATGTAACTACTGACTACTTCCTCTGTCTGCTTACATTTAGAGGTAAATAAAGCCATTTACTTTAATTACCCATGTCGAAGGCAGAGCTGTGCTCTAGTAAACATCCCAGCACCTTGTGTCAACAAAATTATTTCACACATTGAAAATGTGGAGTCAAAAATACAGGAGCATTTGAAACAGGTAAGGGACTTATTTAAAATGCTAACATTTAAATGTTCTGTAGAACATATAAATCTCTTATTTAAAGACCACATAAAATTGTTTTTATTTTTGAAATGGTAATTATAATAATATTTAGAATTTGGGGCCAAGATGTGTAATTTTCCAGTCTAGACATGTTTTTGATAGTCTCACTCCAAAAGGGTGAAACGACCTTATTAAATAGATTTTTTTCCCCTACCTGCTTGTTCTTTATCCAGAGGCAATCATGCTAAGTAGCAATTTCCACAAGCCAACTTGACTGGTAAATTAAATAGTATTTACATTCTTTTTTTGGATGCTAAACTGATTAAATGATTAGATGACTAAATTGGAATATAAAAGGACAGTGTGACCTTTTTAATGAGTTGTTTTGTTCTTAAGAAATACTTAAGTCTGTTGAAAGAGAATATAATGGTTCTTTATCTTTTTAACCTGTTCAAATTTGACTTTGTCATTTTGAAGGGAGCTCAATCTTGTAAGCACTAAAACTCTTATTTTCAAAGGATGACTTAGGAAAGATTTAAAAAAAAGACTTTTATGAAGATTATATCTTCCTTCAACTAATGCAGAATTAGACTGCCAAAGTAGATGGATAAATTTAATAGGGACTTATACTATTTCTTTTTTCTTGCTACTATTACTTGATCTAGTTCAGACAATGTCCTGATGGGTCACTCATTATTAGAGTAGGATGTCTTCTCTTTTGGGAGAAATTAGTACAGACACTAGGATCATAGGCTTTAGAACAGCATGTTCTCTGACGTTAGATGGGTATGGAGAAAAAGAGATAATATGTGAGGACAAATGCCAACAAAGGATATGTGCTCAATATATACTAACTACTGTTATTTCTATGTCATTAAATATCATTCATTCTCTGTTTCCTCTATATTTCTCCAAATTAGAGTATTCTTTTATGAAATGCTTTGCATGTCACAAGACTGATGGTATTCTAGGCCTTGAGGAATTTTTTGAGGAAATACAAAAGAATGAATATCCATTGATATGATATACTGTACACTTTATATCTATTGTAATTAACAATCCATTTGTTAAAGTAATGAAAATAGATTCACAGATGTTTTAATAGACAATTGTAATAACTACCAAAATCCTAATACCATGTTTTTCTCTTAGACCTCATAAAACTACCATTGATTGTTGCTGGTGTATGCATCTAATTGGTAGTTAGGGAAATAGCAATTTAAAATAATTTAGCATCTTGCTCAAGGTCACAAGACAGAATGGGGTAGGGGGAGCAAACACTCTTGTTTACAAACCACATGTCCTCCTACCAATCTCAGCTGGAACTCTGAACACGTGACCAAGTGCTAACCTTCATGGATAATGATCAAGTAGATCATCTTAGATAAAAGAGTTTACAAAATAAGCTATTCTAAATTTAGGAAAATTTAAAAACAGATCTTTCATATGTAAATAATTTTTATGTTCTTTTTAAAAATTCACTCCTATTTTATAGGTTACACAGGTAAATGGCTTTTGTTTTGACAGATGTGTATATACACATAACATATTCATTTTCAGTCTTCCATCAACTCCACCTTTACTTTTCCCTACCCAACGAGTTTCACATGTTGGGGGAAATTTCAGTGTCTCCAGTTACTTTATATACATACCAAGAAGTGGTGTAGCTGGATCGAATGAAACCTCTATTTTTAGCTTTTTTTTAAGGAATCTCTATATTGATTTCTATGATGACTGCACTGATTTACATTTCCACCATCAGTGTAAAAGGCTTCCTTTTACCTTTCATCCTCACCTGCATTTATTGTTCAATTTTTGTATCCTTGATGATAGAATGTCAGTGTAATTTTGATTTGTATTTTCCTAATGCTTAAGGAGATAAACGATTTTTCATATACTAATGGCCATTCATACTTCTTCTTTTGAGAGGTACATGTTAAATTCATTTACTCATTTAATGATTCACCTATGTGATTTTTTGTTCCATGATGGCTAACTGCAAATCTGTCTTCTAGATCTGATATTCTGTCCTCACATTGGTTGATTCTTCTGCATATCCCTTCAATAGAATTTTTAATCTCCTGGATATCTCCTTGAATCTGCTTTATGAATTCCATTTCTTTCCTACATTGGGCTTTCCATTGTTTTCCTAACTCCTCTATTTTTTTTTATTTGTATCTACTCTAGATTCACTAACCATGTCCTTCATTATGATCATCATCTTTGAAGTTCTCTGAGAAATTATTTCTAATGTCATATTTTTCTAGAGCTTCATTCATCTACCTGCTTTGTTACTTCTGCTGTTACCATTTCAGAGAGTTCAGGTGGGTGGTTTTTGAATTTTTCAACCTCACTATCCCCTAGCAAGCTGGAAGTCTGGGGTTGCAGCTTGCTTCCATGTCTTCTAACTTTCTGATTTTTTTTCTTTGTAAACTGTTTATGGTAGGTTACTTTCTTGGTAGTACTGAGAGCTACTTAGGAAATGACAGTGGTTCCTTTTCAGAGACAAGATGTCTCTAGGTACACCTGTCTTTTGTCTTTTGAGTCTATTGAAAGATCCGACCTCTTTAATTTATTGAGGATGAGAAGTTACTGCTTATTTGGCCGAGCCCCTGGTTCTTTGCCACTGACCTAAAGTATTGTTATGACCCTCAGGCCATAACAGGAAAGATGCCTTGTTTTGGCATACAGGGAAGAAAAACTGCTTACAATAACTATGTCACCTTGATGAAAGTAGTACAGTCAGTAATAACAATAGTATCAAGCATAGCCTAAGAAATGATAAAATGTGGCAATTATTAATTTGCCACCCTTAACTGTATTAAGAAGACTTGTAGTTATTTAACAAAATCTAAAACAAAGCACAAGATTGTATACAGTAAATATCCCCTCAATATAAAGGTTTTACCTTCAGGGGAAAATTTAAAGGGAGTAAAAGGAAAACAATAGAGAAATAGAAGAACAGAAAGAGATTAGAATCAAGGCTAAAGGATAAACTTTGGGAACCTGGTGAAAAAGACAGGAGGGAAAAAAAGAAAGAAACACAAATCAGAACAAAACAACACAAAAAATAGAAACAATATTCACACTCATGTAAAACAGGAACAAACAAGAAAAATAAAAGAAAGTAAAGAAAGAAAGAGAGAAAAACATGTCCACTTCTGGGTGTGTCTCTGCTGGGACTGGTAGACAAACCGGGCAGACAGAATCAGGACCTGTGTTGGTTAAACCAGGCGGTAGGCCCAATAAGCCTGCAGTAAAATTACAGCAGGGTGGTGGATAATCCCAGCAAGCCTGCACTTTTAACTCCACTCAAGTTTAGGCTGATCCTGGTATCTGGCTGTGAGGCTGGAACCTGAGTTGTTCAGTACACTACGTACAGTGTGCCTCTTGCCAACTTGAACTTGGCTTCCTGAACCCTGGTATCTCCCACTTCAGCACCTCACTCCGACACTGGGAGCCCCGACATGGAGCCAACCTAAGGCTGCTCTGAGTTCTGGGTTCAGTTGGCTCCTTTCCAAAATGGTGACTGGGTAGTCACCCTCACCAACCACTGCAGCCCACAGCATCCACCGCTCCATTCCACTGGTGTGTTTCTCCACGGAGGCTTCTGGAGTCACCAGCAGTCACCAGGCCTCTGGAGGTACAAGCCATTGCTTCTGTCCCACTGCAAGCTGAGATTCAGGTTGAAAGTGCCATTTTGTCACCTCCTTCCACTTCTGCATCATGGTCCCTCTCTTCACTTTCCCTGTGGGCTCCAATTCTTGCTTCAGATCCTTGCTGGGTCTCAGGGACTCACTTCCTCCCTTCTTCTCTGCCCCATGGTAACTATATCCAGTGTCTGGACTCTAAACCCAGGAGAGTCTTGCGATGTGATTTTTTTTTTTTTTTTTTTTGGTGTTAAAGTTTTTGAGTTCTTTGTGAAGTCTAGATATTAATTTTCTGAAGAGTTAACTGGTAACAATTTTCTTTCATTCTGAAAGCTATTTCTTCACTCAATTGGTTGTTTCTCCTGTGAAGAAACTTTTTAATTTGTATTCTCATTTATTGATTCTTGCTGTTATTTACTATGCTATTGGAGTTTTAATCAGGAAATCCTTTCCTTTACTTATGTCTTCACGTATTTCTGCTGTTTTCTTTCAGCAGATTCAAACTTTCAGGCCTTCTAACCATGTCTTCGATTTATTCTGAATCGATGTTGACACAGGAGGAGAGACAGGGTTCTAGTTTCAGTCTTCTGTAAGTGGGTATGGAAATTGCCCAGCACCATTTGTTAGAGTCTGTCTTTTCCTCAACTATATATTTAGTGCCTTTACCCAGAATCAAATGTCTGCAGTTGCATGTACTTGATTCTGTGTGCTCTATTCTGTTCCACTGATCTGCATGTCTATTTTTGTTCCAGTATGTTTTTGTTACTTTGGCTTTGTAATTTGCAGTTGGGTAATGTGATGCCTCTAGCCTTGCTGTTTTTGCTAAGAATTTTTTTTTTTTTTGCTACTCCATCTCTTTTATCTTTCCATGTACATTTTATGATTTGATTAATCTTATTAATCTTTTCAGTTTTGTGAAGAATGTCACCCGCATTTTGGTGGGTATTGCACTGAATCTGTACATCAATTTGGTAATGTGGCCATTTTGACAATATTCTGCCAGTCCATGAGCATAAAAGGTCTTTTGACCTTCTGATATCATCTTTAATTTCTTTCTTCAGTGTTCTGAAACTTTTATTTTAAATGCCTTTCACTTTCTTATTTAGGTCAGTCCATAGATATTTTACTTTACTTGAAGCTAATACAAATGGAATTGTTTTCCTAATTTCTTTTTCAACTGGTTCTTTATTGGTGTATCCTAAAGCTATTAATTTTTAATGTTGATTTTATATCTTGCTACATTGCTGTTTTCATTTATTAGTTCTAAAAGTCTTTTGGTAGTCTTTACCCTTCCGAGTATAGAATCATAAAAGTACAAAGGAGGATAATTTGGCTGCTTTCATT